CTCATGTTATTGTTGGGGTGCGGTAGTCTTGCACGGCCAGACCTTATGACAGACTGCAGAAGGTCTGGGCTCCATAAAGCTTTCATTTGCAAAGGAAACATCTAACTGACAAAGCATCCAATCACAATGTTTAGGTGTGTGAAAATTTAAAGGAGAACTCAAGTGCAAAATGAACCTTTGGTCTAATAAAACATTGGTACCTAGTCAACCGTTCTCTGAGATTTGTTTTTCAAGATAATCGAATGTAAAGAGTTTTATCTCTAAAAACTGTTTAAATCTGACTAAATGTCCATAAACGTGAAAGTCTGAGAACTTTTGTATATGCCAGTAATAGTAATGTTACTAACCCTGAAGTAGATGATAGTGGCAGCCAGCAGCACACCTAAACTTTGCAGTAAATCCCCCAGCACATGAATAAAAGCAGCCCTCACGCTGGTGTTCCTGTGCTCTTCCGTGAGGCTGTGAGAATGACCCGAAACACTGAGAGAGCTGTGAGAGTGACGGCCCGGAGACTGATGGAGAATGAAAGCCAAACTGATGGAAACAAACATTAAAACATTGTACAGGAAGATGCCATTTCCCATCATGCATAATAATGAATCTAATGTGGGTCTACAAACTGGCAAGAAAAGTGAGTGGTGCAATGCAACACACAATAGCTGACATCATTCATGCTTATCATACTAATATGAGGTGCATGCCAAAGGGTTAGTGTTTTTCCACTTACCTAACTATGAGCATGAAGAGTTGTAATAGTGATGCTTGAGTTAAAAAAACACCATGAAATCAAATAACATCACTCACAAGATGTTGAGTGCTACAGCACATCCAGCTGTGATTATCATGACGTCACTGTGTATCTCATAATCATCACTGATGATCCTCTGAACAGCAACGAGAACGAGAACCGCCGTCACAGTCCAGATGGACATAACAGACAGAAGAGCTCCTAAAACCTCTGGACAAAACAAATGACAGAAACACTGGCATAGTTGTTAAATGTAATTCCTAAGAAAGGAATAAACGTTAGTGATATCATACAGTGCATCCGGAAAGTATTCACAGCGCAGACTCCTAAAAATTCTACTAACAATACCCCATAATGACAAAGTGAAAGAAGTCAGTTTGAAAATTTGCTAATTTATTAAAAAATTAAAAAAATTAAAAATGAAAAAAAAAAAATCACATGTAGATAAGTATTCACAGCCTTTACCATGACATGTTACCATGTTTCCACTGATCATCCTTGAAACGTTTCTACAACTTTGGAGTCCACCTGTGGTAAATTCAGTTGATTGAACATGATTTGGAAAGGCGTACCTGTCTATATAAAGGTCCCACAGTTAAAGGGTGAGTTCATTCAAAAAATGAAAATTCTGTCAGTATTTACTCCCCCTCATGTTGTTTCCAACCCGAAAGACTTTCGTTCATCTTCGGAACACGAATTAAGATATTTTTTTTATTATTAAATCAGAGCTGGATCACTCCTCCATAGGCTTCTAAAGGGATTGAAACTTGCCGGCCCAGAAAAGTTAAAGACATCAGTAAAAAAGTCACTACTGAGTCACTACAGTGTCTCAATCTTACAGTAAGTTCATCAAGCGACGAGAATACTTTTTGTGTGCAAAAAAAATTAAAAAATAACGACTTTATTCAACTATTCATTTCTGCGGGCCTCGATTGAGTTCACGTAGTGTAACTCCGCAGCGCATCTGTGTTGTACGTCACACGTAGGCTCACAATAGCTTGTTTTCATATGACGTCACGCCCCTGCGTTGCCATGGCGCCTAAATACAAATGGAGGGCAGGAAGTGATTTGCTGTATTTAGAAAGCACTATGACACACCCAAAATGCCTGTGTTTTGAGTCATTTATAGGTACTTGAATCGATCAAACCATAAGAAGTTTTTATCATGTACCAAAAGTTGTTGTTCATAAGGGGGGAAATGCAAGAAATTGATCGAAAAACTCTGGAAAAACGGCTTGCAAACCTACCCAGATAGCAAACTGACATTGAATCAACGTGGAAACATGACATCGAAACAACGTTGATCTGACATTGTTTTGCTCATCGAATTAATGTTGAACCAACGTCAGACTTCAAAATTAACGGAAAATCAACTTGAAATCAACGTTGTTTCAATGCCGCGTCTGACGTTGGTTCAACGTTAATTCGATGAGCAAAACAATGCCAGATGAACGTTGTTTCGATGTCATGAAAGACGTCGTTTCCATGTTGATTCAATGTCAGTTTGCTGTCTGGGTATGTCTGCGGTCGGGAGGAGTCGAATGGGAAAATGCGTGTGTGTGTGTGTGTGTAACGTTAGTGATCACTTCCTCAAAGGTGAGTTAATACAACTTAAGTGACTGTTTGTGTAACGTTTCCGAACTTTGTAAAGTTAAAGTATGTCTGTAAGACGAGGTAGTTGCTGATATCTACAGCCTCGGTGGCAGGAAAATATTTCAATTCAGTTGAAAAAAAAAAAAATTCGGTCCTCTTCATAAAGTAAGGATCATGTCCAACATATGTTTGATTTTTTGTTTATTTCTTTCTCTTGTAATAGCGTGTAAGCTCCGTGCCCTCCATCTGAATTCCGCGCTTGATCATAATCACGTGACTGAAACCCAGCTATTGGCTAACGCTGGTCATGTGTCTGATGTGTAACGTACAACACAGAAGTCGTTATTTTTGTTTGTTTTTTGCACACAAAAAGTATAAACTTAACCCTTTCACACGTAAGTTTAAAATATTTCAACTGACCCCCCAGCATGAGTTTTTCAAGGCGACGGATATTTAGAACTTGCCACTTTAATGTTTCCATGGTGACACGTCATTGCTTGTCACGTGACGCAGCACAACTGCAACACAGCACTGAATCAATGATGCTTTTATGTAATTTTTCCTTTTTTATTAAAAATATTCACAAATGTATTAGCTATAGCATGAAACACTGATATTCCAATTGTCAAATATGTGCAAGTGGATGGGTTGTTGTTGTTCAAACATCTTTATAACAATCGCATTAGTTGAGCTGTATGCACAATGGGCGGCGCCATTTTAGTTTGCTTTACTGTTCAGAGAATCGGATCTGTTGGATTTACAACGTCAATTCTTCCACTTCTCACGAAATACATGATAGTAAGTGGCTGGTGAACTGGGAGAAGAATAGGTTCAAATGTTAAGCTACTTACACAATGTGTATCTGATATGAATAAAACGTCGTCTTATTATAATTGAAAGGATTATTATTGCTGCTTCCATAGACAACATAGTGTATTTTACAAACTCAAAATCATTGTTTTGCAAGTACTTATGTGTATTTAAATGTCTGAAATCTAAAATAAATATTATGTGGTTGAAAACACTCAATAGTTGTGCTATATAACAGTACTGAGTGTGTCCGTCTCTGGCTCAGCGCCAGCCAACGCGCGAGAGCAAGTTCGAATTTAGCAGTTGCTGACGTGATGCACTGATCATTCTAATCAAGATTGAGACACTGTAGTCACTTGGACTATTTTAACGATGTCTTTAATAACTTTTCTGGGCCGGCAAGTTTCGATCCCTTAGAAGCCTATGGAGGAGTGATGACAGCTCTCAGATTTCATCAAAAATATCTTAATTTGTGTTCCGAAGATGAACGAAAGTCTTACGGGGTGGGAAAGTGAAATTGGGACAGAAAGAGAAGATGAGGGGAAGGATCCCAAAATAAGATTATTTAACGGAGTGGTACGATTTGAGGGAGAAGGAGGAGTTAAAAGAATTGATCAGCTTAAGTTAACCCAGATAATAAGAGAACAGGTAGGCGAAGTGAAGTATGCAAGAATTTTGGGAGATGGAAATTTACTTGTAGGATGTAATAATGAAGTGCAGATGAAAAAAGCAAAGAAGAGTTGCGTTGGAAAAATTGTAATAGTAAAAGTAGTATAATTAGAGTGGGAGAGAAAATAACTGCAGTAAGGGAGTGATATATGGAATTCCACTTACAGTAAATATGAAATATGAGTTTGTGGAGAGCCTGAGAATGCAGAATAGGTTCGTGAGCAGGAAGAATGACAAGGGGAATTGAAAAGTGGAAACATAATCTGTGTTGGTTGAGTCTGAAACAAAGGATGTATTATGGATTTATGAGATACAGCATAAGGGAATATGTACCTAAACCAATTGCCAGGAATTTTGGCACATGGCTAATAAAGAAAAGATAAGGTGTGCTAGGTGCAGTGGGGATCCTGAGTATGGAAAGTGTGGGGAGGAAGTAAGGCCACAGTGTTATTGTGGAGGGAATCATAGTGTGGCCTTTTGGGGATGTAAAGTGATGAGAAAGGAAGTTAAAGTACAACAGATAAAAACAAAAGAATTAAATTCTAATGTTGAGGCTGTTAAGAGAACTGAACAGGAAAAGGAAAATCAGAGCAGAGAAAATATAAAAAGGTTGGCAAGGGAAGAAAACAACAAGAAAAGAATGAAAAATGGGAGGAGAAGAAGAAACTAGTGATATTCATAGAGGGGCGATAAATACTATGGTTAAAATCAGGTCTAAAACTGAAAGAATTCAGATTATTATTATTAAAGTAGCAATATGACATTAAAGTGGGAAGAAGTGAAGGATGAACTCAGTGTACAGACGAGTCCAGAGACGACATGTGTGGATGGATTAATCATTTTAATAATGATAATCCTTAAATGGAATGCAAGAAGCTTGATCTTTAAGAAGCTTGAAGACTTTAAGCAAGTCGAAGAGAAAACCCAGATGTTATATGCATTCAGAAATCCTGGTTAAAGCCTAATTTGGACTTTATCATTTATGGACATTTATCGGTTAGACAAGATAGGGAAAAAAGGTGGTGGAGGGGGATGTGTCACATTTGTAAGGCGTAGAATATGTAGTAGTAGAAACATTGGGTGAAAGGAAAAAAAATGTTGTTATAAATTATTACAATCTGTGTAGGAAATTAGACATAATGAACTTAGGAAATAGAGGGGTGTAAGACAGAACTAATATTGTATGGTTTAGGGATTTCAATGTGCATAATGCATTGTGGGGTAGTGAGAAAATGGATGGTAATGGCCAAGTAATAGACGAGTTATTGGATGAGAAAAACTTAGTATGTTTAAATGATGGAAGTAAAACAAGGATAGAGGTTAGTACTGGGAAGGAATCTGCACTTGACCTCACACTGGTTTCCAGTAGTATGGTAGCGAAACAGTATGTAATTGGAGTGTCTATAAAAACAGAACTGTAGGAAGTGATCATTATCCATTGTGTAAAATCAATATTTCTTTAACTCAAAGTACAGAAGGAAGAGGAAGAAGATGGATATTTGAGAAGGCTGATAAAAAAGTGAAAAAGTGACAGATGTCTGAGTCAGATTGATTATAATGATGATATAGAAACACTGGAAAATAAAATAAAGCAAGATATAATAACAGCAGCAATAGAGTCCATGGTGGGATGAAGAATGTAAAAAAGCAGTCAGAAATAAGAACAAAGCATTTAAAATAATGAAAAGAACTCATAATTTCATGCACATGATAAGTATGCTCAGGCAATAGTAAGGAAAACAGTAAGACGGGCAAAAAGAACATGTTGGAGGAATTACTGTACAATTGGGAATACAACTCAGATCGGAGAGGTGTGGATAATGATTAAAAAGATGAGTGCGGAAAGGAGAGAATGGAGATACCCTGTTCCGAGTAGTGGAAATGAAATTGCAGTGTTGAATAAGGAAAAGGCTGAAATGTTAGTCACTGTGCACAGTTCTAATAATTTATCTGAAGAAGGGAAGAGAGGCTATTGAGGATGTTGAAGATGAACAAAAACTTAACATGGGAGAGTTAAATAGAGCAATGGGCAAAACTGGGAAGGCTGCATCAGGAAAAGATTCAATTTGTTATAATGTTGAAACAGTTAAGTGAAGAGGGGAAGAAAAAATTGTTGATGCTGTACATTAAAGTGTAGG